AGCGGTGACAGCGGGTGCCGGACGCGCCTTTCCCGGGGCCAGGATCCCGCTGTTTCGGTCCTCCCGGGCGGAGGGCCACCTAGATCCGCCCAGGTGAGGGGAGCCGAGGGCCTGGGTCCCCACGCTCGCTTTTCTGGACCCGTCCGCCAGCCCCTCCGCAGGCCCGGACCCGCGGGGCCCGGCCACGCTGTCCAAGACCTGGGCGTGCCGGCCCCGGGGCGGCGGGAGGTGAGTGGGCAGGAGAGGGAGGTGGCGCGCAGGAATGGGCTGTTTCCTTGGCTTTTCCAATGGGATAGAGCGTGTGGGGGCGGGGGCGGGGGCAGGGGGTGTCTCTTAATATTTTGGTCATCGGAAACTGTGTGACTGACCTCCCGGCCGCGCCCTCGGCAGAGACGATCTTGTGCGCTTTCTAAGGTCAAGTGTTGGTGTTGCGGAGCTGGCCGGGATTGTTCCCCTGAGAAGTGGCGGCGCCTCCCCACGGCAGGCTGGCAGCTTCGGGGGATCTGAGCCAAGAGGTGTGGACTCTGGAGTAGGTTTACTATCCTTACTTAGGCTAACGGTGTCGTTACTTAGTGCGTGGTATCGTTTTGTAAATTAAAGAACTACGCTTTCCGGCTTGGGGAAGGTGTTCCGAGTAGTAGCGGGGAAACTTGTGTATTGTCCCCAGGCTGGGCAAGTGGAGAGGTGGCGTTAACCTTGAGACATTTGTCTTTTCCTCTTCCTGTCCTAAAAATGGAAAAGCAACAAACCAGAAGGTTAAGGGAGTTGGGGATAGATAATATGAAGCGTCCACGTGGTTTGGTAGACATAGAAGTCACCCTTTTTAATCTGACATATATAAACATGCCCTTACAATTAAACCACCTATCAAAGACATTCTAGAACCTAACTGTCCTTTTTGACAGCTTTTGTTGATAGTGTCTTGAGGAAGTTAAATCTTTAAAAGTAAGAGAATTGTTGCAGAGAGCAGTTCCCATGTTGCACTTCCTAAGGATCTATTTCTCTCTGAGAAATGACCAATTAAGATGCCGTTGAATCATAGCCAAAGAATTGGGTTGTGTAGCCCTGAGTGTTTCCAGGAAGGACTGAAAAGAGTATCTTTTGGGAGTGGGGGAGGAGTGGTCCCTCCTGTTTATTACTGAACTTATTTATTATTCCTTTGGAACCAAAGTTTATAGTAATTTGCTAAATGCCACATAGTCTTCAGAGAGGTAGGTAGGGCCGAATGGCATAATTAGGCAATTAGTCAAAACTGCGCACTTGATGGCACCATGCTAAGTACCCTTAGGATAGGCAGACAATAAATAGTTGTCGAACTCAGGTCATGGAGGCAGGTAGAGCCTGTACAGACGTGACCAGTTTCTGCTCTCTTCCTTGAGGATCACCAACAAGTGGAGCCACTAGTGTTGGGAGTGTGACTTGGGGACCCGGGGCTTACCATAGCACCACGTACTAGAAATAAAACTATGTCAGCTTCAAAAGATTTCCTTCTTAGGCTAGAAGGCAGGAAGAAAGCAATAAGACTGTAAGATTATGTAACACGAGGTTGAAAAGTCACTTCATCAACCCAAATTTATCGAGCACCTACTGTGTGCCAGGCTGTACCGGGCGCTGCGGGAGCACAGATGTGCTGGATTGAAGGCAAAAGGCCTTCTTGGGGTGAGTTAATGTAGACTTGAAGGATGAGTAGGAGCTGCATAAATTAAGTGAAGGGAGGAAGAGAAAAGCAGGAGTATGCTCACCCCAGGGAAAGGTGTTCCCTAAGACAGAGAAGGGGAGAACAGGGATTGTTCAAAGTCCAGTGTGACCCAAGGAGAGAATGACACCCGCTGAGATCAGCAGGTGCCGGGGCTAGATGATGCCAGATCTTCGAGCCATTTCGTGGAACTGATCCTCAGGACTGTTTCACCTCTGAAAGTATCCTGATGAGAGTTAAAATCAAACAAAACAAACCTCCAGTTGCTGTGTGGAGGATGGATTTGAGGAGCCCCTAAAGTAGACAGGCTGGTTTGGGACTTATGAGAAGCCTGGCGGCCTAGGCTAAGGTAGTGGCAATGGGGATTACAGAAGCGGGTGGACTCAAGGCAAACTCTGGAGTGACCTGGTGACTAGTTTTGTGTAGGTTGTGAGAATGCATGGTGACTGCCGCTAAGTTGGGGCTTGAGCACTTGGATAGGTGGCTCTGTCATTTACAAAAGAGGGAACATTGGAGGAGGGACAGGTTGGGAGAGGAAAGACAAGTTTGGTTTTGTTGAGTCTGAGCTGCTTTTGAGGCTCCCAAGTGGACGAACTTAATTAGTAGCTGTATAGACCAGACCCCAGCTGACCCTCCAAAGAAGCTGGGGGTCATCTGTATTGGGGTGTTATTTTAAGTCTTGGGTGGGTTGGAGGAGAGGGTATAAGCCTGGAAAAGAGCCCCTGTCTTCATGGGGAGAAATGGGAGGAAAACCAGGGTGATACTAGATCTTCACCGAAGCTGTAATGGGCATGAACACCCAGCATGGTGCAGGGGTGTGTGTGTGTGTGTGTGTGTGTGTGTGTGTGTGTGTGTGTGTGTGAGTGCGCACACACATGCACTGCAGGGCCACCACAGTTGCCTCCCTGGAAGCTGCTCCTTAAGTGAGAGGTGAGACAGAGGGCTGGCTTTTTAATATTGATATGTGAATGGGATAGAGTGAGTGGGAATGTGAGGGTGAACATACAGGATATCTGGAAGCCCCTCCCACTCTTAGAATATTAGGTTAAAAAAAAAAAAACAGTTCGATTGTGCCAGCATTTTGACATCAAACTCATAAACCATTGACGTGTTACTGAAACAATATTCGGAAGCACTTATGGTTGTGATATTTGAAGTTTTATTTTGTAGATCATGAAAATTTAACGATTAAGAGAAACATAGATGGAAGTCACACAACAGAGCTGCAGCGGGGCTACGAGCGCCCGGAGTGAGACTGCCAAGGCTCTGGTTCTGGCTCTGCTACTCCTTCGCTCATGACCTAGCCCAAGTTTCCTGACCTTTCTGCCTTGGTTTCCTGGTCTCTGAAATGGCACCATACCCAATGCTTTGTGGTGCCTTCTTATGGGCTGTCGTGAGAATTGCTTGTGTGCATCATGTATGTACAGTGTTTGCACAAGGTAGGCAAGTGTGCATCATGTACGCCCAATGTATGTGTACGTGCATCAGTATGTGCATGTGTGCATTGTGCCTGGCACAGAGTGAGTGCTCAGTAAGCTTTAGTGCTGGTGGTTTTGTTATGATGATGTCATTTCCATCATTTCCAAATGTAGAATCTTGAGACCCAGAGGATTTTGAGAATCTGTCCAAAGCCATAGAGCCAAGCAGTGGCAAAGTGAAGGCCAGGATTTCAGTTGCCTGACTCACAGGCAGGGATGTCTTCCACTTAGCATGTCAACAAGTGTCAGGTGCTAGATGCTGTATGAAATTAACTGTAATAAAAAGACCTGGCGACTGCTCACCAGAGTGCAGAGAAGCAAAGCAGATATCAATGTCAAGACATACAGACTTTTCCTAAGCAATTTAGGGATATACATTTTGTATTAATTTGCATTGCTTTGCATGTTATTTTATATGCATTTCCATCTGCTGGTAATTTTCCTAGTGAGATCTAAAGGCTGATGCTTCAAGTATAGAAGATCAAATAAAATTAATCAGGAATTAACTACACTGTAGCTCTGTTGTACTTCAAAATCTAATGGGCCCCCGGGCACGGTGGGCTCAGTGTGGGCTTGTGGGGAAAGGATTGAATCAATATTTACTATTTTAGAAGATGTGGGAAGCCAGATACCATTTGGTAAAAGCAGGTCAC